ACTGCGACATTGTTTTTCAAGGAGACTGTCCTTGAGAGCCAATAAATTCCATTTTGCTAAGAGGGTTAATTAGGGTCATACTTATAATGGGGTAAAATGGAACCAAGTGCTAGACTAAAAGTTGCCTTATATTAGTCTTGGATTTCAAGGTCGTGGTTATGTGTTATTTCTGTGGGTGAGAGTTGAAATGGGTTGGAGATCTGGGTTGTGCAGGTTTTGTTTTACATAAATAAAGTTCCGGAACTCATGGCTGTACTTTTAAATCTATAAACATCTTGGGGTAGATCATAATTCTGACATATGCATAGAAGAAGGCCTGTATACATTACTCTTCTGAGGTGGCAGGGGTTTCTACTAGTCAGAAGGCTTTCCTTATTGTGGTATCTACTTTTAGAACACCTTGCTGAGAAAAACACCTTGCTGAAGACCCCAAATATACCTTGGGGACTCTCATACCAAAGTCTGCATTTGTCTTAGTCTTAATATGGACTGTGCAAAGAAGCTCTCGCTGCTGCTTTTCACATTTCAGTCAACAACAAGGAAAGCACAACAAATAGCATCTCTAACGAGTGATCAGTTCTTTTAAAGAAGGCATTTATCGCCTAATAGTTTTAAAGGGACCAGTTGTTTCCATGGCTCCTGCTTTTGTTTCATTGTATTTGCCTTCATTTTATTTTATTAATTATTATTTTTATTTGTAAGCTACTTTGGGGAACCTTTAATAACTGGGACATAAGTAATTATTAATAATATATAAGACTGGAAGGTTTTTTTAAAAAGTTTTTTTAAAAAAGGGCCCTTGGTACGTATGGTGTTAGTTTCAAAATCCTTCATTCAGACATGTTAGTTTTACTGGTTATAATGCTAGTACTTCTGTCCAAATTTCTAGCATTTCCTTTATAATGCAGCATCTGTTACATAATGGAACTGTGGCTTTTTGAGCAATATACTGCCATGTTACACTAAATTTTAAAATAGTTGGAAAGTATTACAGTATATGCCTCAATATCACCTCAAATTTTGTCATGTTAAATTACAGTGCAAAATTCCCACAATTTTCTGAGTTCAGAGAGTTCAAAATATATCTTTTTCCTGGAACAAATTAACACAGAATTGAATACAGAGCTTCCACTAGATTGCACTAGATTTCCGAAAACAGCTTTTGCATTGTGTGAAAGATCACATGACATGCAGAAATTAACAGGTAAGGAAATGTCAGGAAAACAAAATAATGTGCTGTCTGAATGCAACTGCGCTGCGCATACACACAGAGATGATTTATGTGATTGCCTCATTTCCTAATTCTACTTCTTAAAAGTAGTTAGGTTTCATTATCATGTAACAGAAAACATTTGCCATCTCTGTCATTCCGCCTACCTCTTAATGCTGTCCGCTTGATCTAACACTGAAGAAGTGTAAGTGAACGAGAATGTTCAGGTGAGAGTGCACATTTTACAGGTGAATGAGTGAGTAAATCAGACAGCTTTTATTCACAGTCAAAGGAGGTCTTGTCTCAGCAGGAGCAAGAACAGTATGTATTGTTTCTGTCGGTCCTTCTATAGACATTGGTAAGCAGCATGGGGGGGGGGGGTGAGACCAGGAAACAGAAAGCACAGGAGGCTGTTCTGTACAAAGTTAGGCCTATCTCTCTCGGTACCGGTTTTCTTTGTCTGCCCAAATTAATTTAATCTCCTTTGAAAAGATTTCAATATACACTGATTAAAAGAGAGAGCTGGCTTCAAACAGAGAATATAGAAGGAGGGGACAGTGGGGTTGGCTATGCAAATGCAATCATAGCCTGCCATAGGCAAGATGTTTTATGTCCAAAAAGCAAGGAAACAAGCAAGCAAGCAAAATTCCAATACATTTGATGTATTAAACGGCCATTACTAGGGATGCATAGAGAGAGAGAGCATAATAACCCAGACAGTCCAAGTTGGTAATCATAGGAAAAAAATGCCATAGTCAAATCTGTTTCCGGAAGAAATGACCCATTTTAAATAGTCATTTTGTGATCATTTGGAAAAGCCCTGGAGGCAAACTGTGATTCATTCTGAGTCAGATCAACATTTTGTAACTTTTCAAGTTCATCATTTCTCTTGGATCAGGTTGGTAGGATGTTTAGCTTTGAGCATGACTATAAACCCCTGTATTGTTAACAGCTTCCCTAATCCCTGTTCCCCGACTGAATACAGTGAAGACCAAGTAGGTATAGGGCCAGGACATTAAATTGATGCCTGCACCAATCTGGTCTAAAAAGAACCCAACAAACAGTCTAGACTGCTGCAATTTATTTTAGCTCTGTGTGCTCATTTCTACCAAGAACTGGAACTTATTTTCAGTGACAGGATTACCCCTGAAATATAAACTAATGATAAAACAGAACATTAGATGACACTTAAAATAATAATAATAATTTTTATTGATTTTCTTTTCTCATAACAATTATTCAATATCATCACTTAGCATTCATTTTCTAGTTTCCCCCCTCCCTGTTGACTTCCCCCAACTTCCATTTCTGGTTTGTTACACCAGATGTTAAATTCTGCTGTTTATATATAATGTTCTGTTATCACCTGTTATATTTCTTGTTCTCTGTAAATAAAGTTGTAAATGTTTTTTTTTCCTGCCCACAAGTCCATTTTTTTTGTTTTGTTTCTGCAAGTAAGTTGTAAAAGGTTCCCAATCTTTTTTCAAAGTCACTATTGTCCTTTTCACACAGTTTGTCCGTTAACTTTGCTAGCTCTGCATAGTTCATCAGTTTTTCTTGCCATTGTTCTTTTGATGGTATTTCTCCATTCTTCCAATTTTGTGCTATTAAGATTCTTGCTGCTGTAGTAGTGTACATAAATAATGACAAATTTTTCTTCAGCAATTATTGTCCCAAAATACCGTAGTTAACAAAAAAAGCTTCTGGTTTTTTAACAAAAGTTATTTTAAACATTTTTTTTTCAGTTCATTATATATCATTTCCCTTTTTTAAAAAAATAATCTCGCAATCCCACCACATATGATAAAATGTACCTTCCCCTTCTTTACATCTCCAACAGTTTTTTTGTTATGTTTTATACATTGTATAAAAATGTATAAATGTATCAGATGACACTTTTAAGCCAATAGAAATGAATCTGTTCCTATCAGTACATCAACATGTAATGAGATCAGTAATATGGCTGTAAAGTAGAATCCATCTCATATTCACGTGAACAGTTCTGAAAGGGGACAGATGCATAATGGATAAATGGGTGCACTTTGAATCTCTGAGGTGCTTGTAATGGTTTGCTTCTGCAAGGATCAGTACCATATCACCAAAACCAAGACCATATCAGTCTATACCTCTTGTATTTCAGAATTTTGGGCTATGTGCAGAGCCTGAAAAACAAATGAGCAGGTGAGAATGTAGTAAGATATTCTTTCAGTTTTGAATTAAGGTGTCCCACCAGTTTCTAAAGAATAATAGTCATTGTCCCTTGTTATTCTTTTTTTAAAAAAGCTCTGTCCATCCTTAACATGACAAACGTTTTGTGAAAAACTGCTGGTGAGGTAAACACATTTCAGTGCCTCTCCCTGTCCTGGGAGAGAAAGCTACTGGCAGGGCTTTTTTTCTGGGGGAACTGACAGGAACTCAGTTCTGGCACCTCTCAGGTGGGCACCATTGCCATCCTAAGAGAATGAGGGAGGTGTTCATAGTGAGTTCTGGCACCTCTTTTTTCAGAAAAAAAAGCACTGGCTATTAGTATCTGTCTTGCTAAAACAATACCTTAACCAACAATAATAACAAAATTAAAAATGTGGGGTTTCTTTTTGCAAATGCTTTATAAGGGCTTCATTTTAATGAATGCTTGCTATCAAGGCAAAACATTGATTTATGCTCCATATTTACAGTTGGGAGGAGGTAATTTCACATATGTATACTATACAAGAAATGGAAAGATACTGTAGTTCCCTAAAGACATTTCCTATTTCTTGAGTCCATAATTTTAAGCCAGTACAAAACTGGGGACAGAAAGAAACAAGCACTGTAAGGAATTCTATTATTCTCCCTCTGAACTTCCATATTTATCCTGAATGCAATGTCCTATAGAACAGGATTATGACACCAAATGGAGATTCTTAACATGCTGTAATTAAAGTCTATCTTCCCTTCTCTATTAAGCTAACAAATTTATTTTTGTGTTGTTAAATATTTCTGACTACCCCAGAAAAGGATTGGAAGCACCAACTTTTCAAATTCCATTCTAGTATGTGAATTCCAAGACAAATTAATGCAAATTTTGCACGAGTGAAAATAAGTGAGTCATATCAGAAATGCACAGCTTCCATTTTTTGCCCATCATTTATCTCAGTTGTTCATGTTCAAAGTGAAAGAATACCTATTTTATATATTTTATAGTTTCTAATCAGATTGCAACTCTATGGTTATTTATTTATTTATTTGAGAGCCCATTTTAGGTCAACTGGACCTTTTTGGGTAGACATATATAGCATTTCACAGTGCCTAACTTGGGCTACTAGACAAAAAACCAAGAATAAAGCAGTCCTTCAAATGGCATGAAAAATACAGGGGCGTTATTTCCTTTCATGTGCATCATGATTGCATGGCCAAAAAGGTAAGCACAGGGCTCAATGAGAGTTCTTGCCTCTGTTCCTTCTCCTTGGCTGGATGCTTGTCCATGTCATACTGTTGCACAAAATAATCTTAATAATGTTGTGAGATGGCACTATGGGATAGATACTATGGGTGTTAATAGCCCCTGTGGATTGATTTGGGAGTCCTCCTTCTCTTGATTTGAAATGCAAAGTCAATAACCTGCTGAGTCAGATCAGGGCCCCCACAAAGTCTCATGTCCGCAACTCTCTCTTGTGTTGTTTTGTTTCTGAAATTGTTTCCCTCATAGCTCTCTCTATATTTTTCTATATCTCTATGCTTCTCTAGGTCCATGGGCTTTGCAAGAAGTAATACTGTGCAAAATGTTGCCTGAGGAACACTGAAGAGGGCAGTGCTCGCTTCGGCAGCACATATACTAAAATTGGAACGATACAGAGAAGATTAGCGAGGAACACTGAAGAGGGCAGAATTGTTTTGCTGAAGTACAAGGGTAGAGGTCTTTTTATAAATTAAATGGTGTGTGCATGTGTGTGTGTGTGTGTGCGCGCGCGCGCACCAAAAACAAAACGAACAAGTCAGCCAACAAAAAACCCATTGCCATATCTTAATTATTTTAAAGTAAGAAAGAACAATAGGCAAATCTTCAGATCAGTTCAGAACGCAGAGCACAGATCAAAATGGAGGGAATACAGAAAAACTCAGAAACAGATTAACTTTTTTTTTTAAAAAAAAGAAACCTCACAGATACCAATACACGGCAAATTTTGGGGACTGTGCACACTACTATTAAATGTAAAATGGGAAATCACTGGACATTGCCAAAGTAATGACAACTTTATTCTCCTATCAATAATTTTGTTTCAACAAAAGCCATTGTGTTGAAATAGCTTTGACACCCTAACTTGATTAATGCTTACAGATTTATACATAAACAATACAAATTGCGTTTCTGACTATAGCCAAATATTATTTAAAAGGGCTGCCCTGTGTACTTGACATCAACCTTCATGAAAAAAATAAATTTAAAATGCCAAAGTTTTAAATCTATTTGTTCTCTAACAATATTACTTCTCTTTTTAAACAAGGGTTTTATTGGACGTATCCATGGAAGTTTTAATGGAAGTTATAATGGGCAACATGGTTGACTGAGTAATTAAGTGTTCTCTGCATTTGATAATGCAAAGTGTAAATTATGTAAATTGCCATCATTTCAAAATTAATTACTAGTGTTCATTCATATTACATAAAGAACACAAAAGGCACTTGAAACATTTGTCATGTTTCCAAATGTATCACTCTGTTAATAAAGTTGGACCTTCTGAATTCAAAAGAAAGGGGATGCATTCTCAAAGTCAATTCATCCTGAGAAATGGTATTCACTTAACCTCAGTGTCATGACTAATTTCCCACTGGGATCATTATATCCTACCCACCTCAAAACCCCAGTACACAATAGTTGCAATTAGACACATTATTCATTACTTCCCATCCCAAATTACTGTGTGAAAGTGTAAAGTGCAATATTCAAGTGAATGAACTTTTCTATATAAATGGAAGGTTATTAGGAATCTATCCAAAGCAGGAAGCTGTGTTGATATACATATTATATGCCTACTTCTCCAAGAATGTGCTGAATCCTACAATTAACAATCTGCCTTTCATTGGCTAGCCAGTTACAGATTGACAGTCCTGTTCTTATAGGGACATCGAGCTCTCTGGCTTCTCACATACACAGGCAGTTTATGCTTAGAGAAACATTCCTGGTAATTATTATTATTTTTATTAATAATAATACCACCCCGTCCATCTGGCTGGGTTTCCCTAGCCACTCTGGTGGCTCCCAACAGCATACTAAAAACACGATAAAAGATAAAACATTAAGAACTTCCCTAAACAGGGCTGCTTTCAGATGTCTTCTAGTTGTTTAAGTCAAATAGTTGTTTATTTCCTTAACATCTGATGGGAGGGCGTTCCACAGGGTGGGCGCCACCACTGAAAAGGCCCTCTGCCTGGTTTCTACTATGTGCTGATCTGTGAGGAGCTGGTATTTGCGCTCATCCCTTAATGTTTCATTTTAATTAATTTTAATCAATTTTTAATATTTACTGATAATAAATATATGTATTGTGTGATAACCAGCCTCATATAACCAACTTGCTTAAGTCTAATTAATGCATGAAGGGGCTAATACCATAGCTGGCCTACCACACTTAATTAAGTCAACTTCTCCTCACCTTGTAACGAACTATCATCATCAAACCTTTATTGGCATCACTTACAAACATTCAGGATAAATAGGCCAGTGCTATCTCGTCGCCATTTCAACAGTACAGTCATTTGCCAAAAGGAAGAAGAGACAAGCAATCTATTTCATCTCTGTGGGTCTCCAGCAAGGGCAGGATCCTGTAGCGTACTTCGGCAACAAAAAAATCAAATAAAGGAACTTAGCTACTGTCTTGGTGAGCTCCTGGTCTCTCCCCTGTAATAAGAAGCGTATAACCTCTGTCTCTGGTTTCCATGTTGGAATACATAGATGGTCTAAAAATTGTTGGCAGAGATCATCATATATTAAGAAGAAGAAGAAGAGTTTGGATTTGATATCCCGCCTTTCACTCCCCTTCAGGAGTCTCAAAGCGGCTAACATTCTCCTTTTCCCTTCCTCCCCCACAACAAACACTCTGTAAGGTGAGTGGGGCTGAGAGACTTCAGAGAAGTGTGACTGGCCCAAGGTCACCCAGCAGCTGCATGTGGAGGAGCGGAGACGCGAACCCGGTTCCCCAGATTACGAGACTACCGCTCTTAACCACTACACCACACTGGCCCTAGTAACAAACTAGGTAGCCAAGCCTCCAGTCTGTGAAGAAGTTTGAACTGGCTGTTCCAGTTCAGACTGCATGGCTCTTACAAGTCACTCTTGAGTTCCTATACCAATAATATAGGAACTTTCACCACTTTGTAACTAATCTAAATTTTACTGCCTGTGCATATTTTCTAAGTGATGTATGGAAAAACACATAAAGCAGACCTTTGAAGAGTTTGTAAGTAAGCTATTTTAACTTTCTAAACAGAGGAGGAACAGAGGGACTTTGGAAGTAACTTAAAGGTCTAACAACCTAGATTTCCACACTTTACTTTGATGCATGTTTTGTAATTTTAAAACTCTGCTGCGGTACTTGCCCCAGACTTCTCCTTTATATATATATTTTTTCCATTTTTTTGCATCAACACAGGCAGTAGTGAATTATGAATGTTCTTGGGGTGGGGTGAAGAATAGTGAGCCCTAAATGATGTTGTTATTGCTGGAGGTGGTAAGGTTGTTCCAACTGCTGCTACTCAACGGTTTAACTGATTTCATATGGGACAATAGCCTGCCCCAGTGTGTACTACCTAGCAACCTAAACCCAGGTAGTAGGAATGTTTTAGTCCGCTGGAGAACAGTCCAAAGGTAATCTGGAAAATAAAAAGACAAAGGATTTGAATTTTTATTTTTACAAATATCATAACTCCCAAGCAAATCTCCCTATCACAGTCTCATAATCCCAAGCAAATCTCAGTGCTCAGAATGAATGACTCATGATGCTGAACATTCTCATATTAATGAGTCTATTGGTCTCACTTCCAACCTTTTTAGTGTAGAAAGCTAAAATCAGACTTCATGGGCAGAAATAAGTGTGTGAAATTATTTTAGGCACTATGAAGCAAGTGAAAGCAAAACATGCTTCCCCTGGCAGTGTAAGGTGTTGCACAATGGCAATAACTTGTTACAAGGGGGTAACAGTTCTTTGTATACATACTCTGAACTGTATACAAAATCTGCTCTGCTTATGCCTGGTTTTAACCGCAAGCTATTGAATAATGTACATGAGAAGTAACTGTGAGTCCTAAGTGGTATCAGTAAAAAAATGAACAAAAACATTTCTCTTTATACTATTTGCAAATGAAGTGTGATATAGCTGTTTTGATACCTAGATCCCTCTATTGTACATTTTCAGTGCACTAAACAAACTATCTTCAAGGTATGAATGAAGTCATATGCCTGTAATAAGAACACACCTGAATATTCAACTGAAATACAAGCTGAACTTCCCATGCGTGTTAATTCTCTGTGTAAACAGTTATATTTCCTGTTTCCATTGACAAATTATAGTTCATTTTTAGTTTATTTGAAGCTGGAACTTGAAGTGCAAATAGTAAAATACAGCTTTAATAACCTTGTAAAACCATTTTAGCGTGATTCACAGGAACTTGGTGGTTGTGAACATTTACAGGCAATGCGGTGTCATTCAGTATTTTCCCATCTTTTCCCAACCTCATACTCTTTCTTCTTAGCTATATTATTTAGAAGTGAGTTCTGTTAAGGTCCGACCCTTTTATTTTCCATGAACTGTGCTGCCCCCCCATGACCCCTGAATTTTTGAATTTTATTGATATTGATGCTGCATTTTATGTTGTATTTTATGCTGTTTATGCTGTTTTTAAGTCACATTTTAATCAATGTTTTATATTTGCTGTTAGCCTCCCTGAGCCCGGTTTTAAAACGGGAAGGGCGGGGTATAAATAAAAAATTATATTAATAATAATAATAATAATAATAATAATAATAATATAGACATGAAAAATGCTTAAGAGCTGCCAATTTAGAACAAGACCAGATCTCTGACTACCACGTTTTCCAATATACAGCCCAAAACTTTCAATTTACTTATTTGCTAATTACTCTAATTAAATCCAAATTTATCTTAATGTCCTCAGGTGGTATCCCAATTAATCCCTACATGCGCATGCCTCCATTTTGTGATTTCTGATTTAGCTTGTGGGGAGGAGAGAATATTCTAGATGTCACCTTACACATGTAAGGTGAGGTTCATCTATAAGCTATGAAAATATTAAAGATTTCAATTTGGAGGCAGGAGTTTTGCTCCTCTCCTGTATTTTCTTCTCCATTTTTTCCCTATCATCCTTAACTTCTACCTAATCCTTCCAAATGGCCACTTTCTTTCATTCCTCCTTTTACTAGCTGCTGGATAGCTCAGTCAGTAGAACATGAGACACTGAGTCTCATAGTTGTGGATTTGAGCCCCATGTTGGGGAAAAGATCCCTGCATTGCAGGGGGTTGGATAAGATGACCCTGGTGGTCCCTTCGAAGTCTAAAATTCTATGACTCCTCCACTTCCTCCTACAGCTGCTCCCATCTCTGATTCCATTCCTTTCTATTTTCAGTTCACAGTTGTATTTTCAAAATATTAACCTTTTATCCCTCTTCCCAATGTCCTTAAGCACTTCCTCTGGTACTTTATCCATAAGCAACGAATTCTTCAACCCGCTAAAAGAAAACCTCTTTCTGTCTATTAGTCATCTTTACTCACAACATGGTTTATTATTATTATTATTATTATTATTATTATTATTCTGTTACCAAGGTCCACTTGAAAGCCCACTAGTGCCCTGCTGTCTACTATAGGAGAAATATTTTCCCATGACAATTCCTTTATCTGTGTGTGAGTTCTGCACCTGCCACGGACTAGATCAGACACCCAAGTTCCACCTATGATTCTCAAGCTTAAGTTAGACCACTTTAAAATATCATACTACATGTGCAAAATCATAAATAAGATATGCTTTTTCTTGATCTTAAGAAGCTATTTTGGTTTCACAAAAGTGCAATTAGAAAATCAGAAAGGTCTCAGGCTAGATTGTGAAATGAAAACACTTGGTTCAAGGGAACATTCGCAATATATCTCAGCAGCATTATGATCATGAAATACCCTCTTGTTAGCACAGATGGACAAAAAGTAACAAGAGCATAAGCTGTCCAACAGGGGCAGAGCCAAAAAGAGAAATCACTTCCATTTATATCAGACTTGGCAGTACAGAGATCCGTATAATCAGAACACAAATCAAATATTTCAGGGGGGCGAAATGGAATCATTTCTTTTTTTTTTATTTATTTTAGATGGTTCGGATTCTGGAAAACGTATGTATCTAACAACTACCAGCAAGCAAACTATATTGTGGATAATAGAGAATGCTCCTAAAAGCTATGACTAACATAAACAATTTGATGCAAAATAATGTGAAGTCAATTGGGCTTACTTCTGTGTAGTATATATATATATATATATATTTAAATGATATTTATTAAGCATTTTAAAGTTACAGAAAAAACAAAGAGACAGAAAAGAAAAAAAACAAGGGAAAAGTAAACAGCAGTCAAACAATACAAATCAGTAAAAATAAAAGAAACAAAGACACAACACATCAAAATCCAAAAAACAAAAGTAAACCACAAACATTTAAAAACAGATCCAATATTCCCAAATCCTTAACTGTCATTGCCTTATTTCATCGACCTCCTCACACCTCCCATGTTTGTAGTCCAGTTATTAATTATAACAGCAAATCCTTCCCATTTTTCATAATATTCTGTCATTAAATTACCTTAATCTATTTTAACCTTATCTTACTATAAAAGACCCTAGAACTTAAAACTTAAATCTTATTTATACCAATTTCTCATAACCATAACATATTCTTGCATAGTTCTTTTTAACATTTCTGCTAAAGCAAAATAGTTTCGTTCCAACATTTTTCTAATACTCATTAATTTTACAAAACAATCCTAAATAAAAAATTTTTTTAAAACTTTCTTCCAATCTTCATCCAACGTCTCTTCCTCCTGGTCCCGGGTTTTGTCAGTCCTTTCTGTCCCATCCATCTAGTTCATTAACCCGGTAACCTTATATCCGAGGCCCTTAAGTCTCTTCCATGTCCCTTTTGCAGATCTTCTTCATATTTATACCTGTACTTTACTTTGTCTCCTGGTCCTTTCACTCGTGGAAACTCCAACATGACAGTATTTTTGTCCCTTCTTGACATATCAGCCCATTTTCCATAATCCACACTGAACTCCATATGGTATTTAAAAGCATGTTTCAAAGTCCCTCCAAAGTTGAGGACCCTGACAACCCGAAACTCCTCACGGCCCATTGCCAGACTTGAAAAGTCAAGACATCCCTGCATAGGGGGGTCTATCCAGCCCCCCATCTCCAAGCCCAACAAAACTCTATCTCTCCAAATCTGGCTTTTTCCAAGTTCATTTGTCAAATCCAACAACTCATGTTCCTGCTGGGCCACAGCTACCTCCATCTCTGCCACCCGAGGTCCAACAACAATCTCCTCCCTCATCTGATCTGTCAGAGCACACTCCTGAGTTGATTCCTGGGTGGGTTCTATATAGATACCCACTACCTGTCCAAAATTTCTAATCGCCACAGTCATCAAATCCGTCTTCTCATGTAACTGTTGCAATAAAGCACTTGTCTTACAGAAAGCACGCACCAGAGCCTCTGAGTACATTGTTATGCAAGGTCAGAAGTCTGTTCCCACGATCTTAATCTGTTTGCAGCTGCGAAGCTCCCCAGTTCAAGTTTAATAACAGTTTCACAAGCTCCCTCTAGGGGAATAACTTCTATTTGTATCAATCTCTTTTCTTTTCTTTTTTTTAACAACAGATCTAACGACAAAGTTTCCTTTTTCAGATATTTTGTCAGTATTTGTTCCTTTAAAATGCGAAAGAGAACAATGGAATCACTATGTTTCTCTTCTTTTAACTATCTGTCAAAAACATTTAACTATAGTCAATGAACTTCCCAAAAATGTCTGTCCTGACATCCCGCTCCCAGGTTCAAGACGGTGGAAAATTACTTTTCTTTACATTCTCTCCTGCAAGTTTAAACCATCCGGAAAAAATCCCCCCTCTTCTCCTGCTTCCGAAGGGGGTTCAGTAGTTTTAAATGGTGAAACTTGATCCTTTGCAAACGATTTTCTGAACTCTAGTTTGCCATGTCTTTGCTTTAATCTATCTACAAGAAACAGAAGGCTGACTTCCTGTTTAGACCTTCCCGCTTCAGTGCCAAATTAAGGAGAATTTCCTAATCCAATTTTCCCTTCTACTCACAGATCGTTGTTTAAAGTCCAGTTGTCCAAATTTGATCTGCTCACGGGTAGTTGTTTTTGTAGCCAAATTGTCCCAGGAAAAAGGTAGCGCTCTCCGGCAACGGCTGTGCGGCTTCGCTCCACGGAAGAAGCAGTTGACTCTCAGCACTGCGCCACTAGCCCCTCTTCGCTCCGGAGCCTGTAGTTGGGTTCCTTTACGGATTGGGGGGGCGCAAAAGGTGCCCGCCGAGTCCCATGGTCACAGGCTTCCTCCGCCTGTGATTTTTGAAGGATCCCCACTTTACTTCTGTGTAGTATATACTTCGGCCGCACCAAGTTTCACTCTTTTGGATTCTGAGTCAAAGTGGTGTTATGTTCCAAGAAATGAACAAATCTGACAGTTTTTGTTTCTGGCAGTTTCCCATTTTTCTTACCTTAAATTCAGTTTACCCCGTTTCAGTATTAGTTTCTGAACTTTAAAAAAGAGAAAAAAGAGTCCACAGAAAACTTGTACATTATTTTTGAAAATATATTATTCCATGTGCACATTTCCATATGTGTGTGTGTGTGTTTGTACCCATACTATGTTTGGAGAACGGCATCATAAAATGTGAATAAGTGCAAAAATTAAAGGATAGGTACATTTTGGTTCACATGTTAGATCAGGAAGATTTAGTTAATCCGGTTTACATTAAAATGCAAACAGTATAAATTAATCCCATATCTCTAGCTGCTGCCTCTCATCTTAATTCCTAAGTCTACCATCTAAAATTTTAGGGTCCAGTTGACTGATGAATGAATCTTGGCTAGCTGTATAATAAATGGTGTCCTCTCTATGCATGTTAAGGTCATTCCATGGTTAAAAATGTGCTTTAAAAAGGAATTAATTCTTCCTAAATATATCTGGAGTCTAATTTAATTTAATTTAATTTAATTATTTATTTTCTTTCAAATTTTTATACCACCCTTCAACTGAAGATCACAGGGCAGTTTACAACAGAAAAAACCCCATTAATAATTACATACCATAATAACATACAATACCCACCCCAGTTCTCTCACACACACAATTTAAAAGCCCATAGATTGTTTAATTAGCAAAAGGCTGGAATGAGAGAAATGTTTTGCCTGGTGCCTAATGATATGTAACAAAGGCCCCAGGGAAAAAAGAGAAGAAGAAGAAGAGTTTGGATTTGATATCCTGCTTTATCACTACCCTAAGGAGTCTCAAAGCGGTTAACAATCTCCTTTCCCTTCTTCCCCCACAACAAACACTCTGTGAGGTGAGTGAGGCTGAGAGACTTCAGAGAAGTGTGACTAGCCCAAGGTCACCCAGCAGCTGCATTTGGAGGAGTGGGGACGCAAACCCGGTTCACCAGATTACGAGTCTACCGCTCTTAACCACTACACCACACTGGCTCCCCTGGTGAGAGCATTCCATAAACAGGGATCTACTACAGAAAAGGCCTGTTCTCGTGTTTCTACCCTCTGGACCTCCGACAGAGGAGGTACATGAAGAAGTGCCTCAGATGATGATCACAGGGTCTAGGTTGAGTCATACTGGGTCACTTTGAACTGGGGCTAGAAACTAATTGGCAGCCAGTGCAGTCAGGCCAGGATTGACATTTTACGCTTAAACTGTCTTGCCCCGGTGAGCAACCTGGCTGATAAATTCTGTACCAGCTGAAGTTTCTGAACCATCTTAAGAAGCAGCCCAACATATAAAGTTTTGCAGTAATCTGACCAAGAAGTTACCAGAGCATCCCTGTCCATACTAACAAAATATCCAGATTTCCACTTATCCGGAATAGCACATTTATTGAGCAAATCAGAAAACTGTCTTCCTTTTCTATTGCTTTGATTTAATTTTTCATTTTCTCCTATGCTCAATAAAGCGCAGAAACCAGACTTTTGAGAACAACGGCAAATGAAAAACCATGATTTTCCTTTTCCTTTTGCCCCCACGTCTCCCTATGACAACAAATAAATATGACTAGATATAATTTTTCGATTCAACTGTGGGTAGAAACTACAATTGAAAAATGATCATGTCCCAGGCTTGCAAAAACCTTTCAGGGTGAAACAGGGAAATGTATGGATATGACATACAGAAGTGATAACATCTGTTATCTGCAAAAAGAGATTGAATAAACATGTATGCATTACTTAATTTCTACTTGTCTCCATACATTTACCCAATCCTTAACTAGAACCAGAACCAAATAGATCAGACTATTAGGTCAACAGTAGCCAGTGAAATTGTTTGCTAGTGGGTACAATCCACCTGTGGGATAATCAAGATGGAGACGGTAAGGCTATCTGCACAGGCAAATATGGGAATGCAGGCAAGAATGAAAGCAGGGTATGGCTCAGTTAACACCATGAATTGTGCAATGCCTGCCTATAGAACAACTAAAAGCTCAGACATTTTGCTTCCTGTGGCACAGCAAAAATGGCAGGCAACATACACACAAGTCACAATTGGTCAAGTTATGGTTAAAATCCTACAAATGCTGACACACAACACTGCTTGCCTGATTCCACTGACATTCTGATGACTACTGATAAGATTAAAGATGGGCTTTCCCATATCTACATTCAGGTAGTTCCCTCTAAAGAGCCATATAACTAGTAGTTTCTGATTTCATATTTACTTTGCAATTATATGCTGGGGTATGTCGGGAATGTGTTTGTGGTTGAGTTGATAATTCATTACATACTGAGGAATCTAGTGCTCAGCTATGAGAACAACTTGCTCTACATACTCTGCTACAGATTTATCCCTGAAGTCATGAGGACTTACTGTGATGAATATTTACCATGCATTAAAGCATCTCCTCATCTCTCCACCCTGTTCCCTCCTATTTGTCTACTGAGACAGTAGGCTCTCAGTCATACAAATCAATGCACTTGCTACCCACTTAATCACAGCAAGATGTGAGGAAGTTGAGAAGCTAAATTACTTAGCCCAGTGCTGTGTGAAGTAATAGAAAGGTCATGTAAATGTGAAGATCACTTACTACTGTGCCTACAGAGATGGAAATCACATCAATTCTGAACTCACCTCACATATATACCATGCTATACAATGACTTTGTACAATGGTATCTGGCAATGATGTTCATTCATGCTGCATCATTGGCATTCTCCCCTGGGCACATTGTGGTATTCCACTGCCAGATCAATTACTGTGTCCCATTCCGTAAACAGTAAATTGTAGGGATAATTTCATTCTGAATAAAAGTAGAGAGCAGTGGAGCATACATTTCACAAGCAGAAGACCAGGTTCAATCTCGAGCATCTCCAGGTGAGGCTAAAAAATACCCCTGCCTGAAACAATGAAGATATGCTGCATGCAAATGATCCTGAAATAGGTGGAAAAATGGCAGCTTTCAATGCAAATGTTAGTAGAATGTAGAGGCAGAATACTAGGGCTGAGCTGCCTTTCATAAACTTCACTTTTCCTCATCAAGCATTGCCTTTTCTTTTTCTTTAGTCACTCCCACTAAATGTTTCCCATTTTTAGCAACAACTGTTTGAGCTGTTACTAACAGAACCCAAATCAGTTCTTTATCTGCTCTGTATTCATTTGTTCCATCCTGGATACCCAGAAACACAGGAGGTTTTGGCATGAGGTCCTGTCTAGTGATTAAATTAATTTCTTGAAATACAATTTCCCAGAATTCTGATACTATATGGCATTCCCACCCAAATTCAAAATATGTTTACAATGGAGAAAAACTGGAGCTGGACTGGAGTATACTACCATGTAAATAATGTTTTTAGTGCAGAACCTTGAATTTAGGTTGAGACTGTCTTCACAGATACTTTAGTCCAAACTTCCCTAGTGTGCAAGGTCAATTGTGTTGTCTTTTCAATGCAGTAAATCGTGTCCTCCATCACGGAGGGCATGTGTTGCGATGAGATCATCATAAACTGCCTCCCTGTGGTAGGGCAGGACCGTTTGGATGGCCGCAACACCCGATTTTTGCATCTCAGTTGCTAGGGCAGAAATTTGGTTAATTGGGATGGCTATTGGCTGCCGAGTAGCTATATAAGTTGCAGCACACTGCTGGAAAGTTTCACTTTCTTGTGACGTGCAACGGATCACTCACCTTCCCCTCCCTTTAGTTAGGTTTGTCTTCTGACCTTGCTATGCCTGACTAGGGGTCGTCTATTTTTGGAACAGAGGCCCGGTAGTAATTTTGCCATTTTGCCAATTGGCTGGTGCCACTTGGTTTTTGCCTACCGTGTAGCAAATTGTCAAAACTTTGTAAGGTTGGCGGTTAGGCATTGGTTCATTGTTGTTCGGAGTGGATGTGGTTGGCTGTGCCTGCCCCTCCATTGCTGCTGCTAGGGAATTCCGTTAAAGGAATCCAGGGGCTTGCCTTGCTTTTGTCCAAACTCTGTCAAGGGGCTAGGGCCACGCCAGAGCCCCTGGGAGCATGTGGGATGAGCTGTGAGGTGGAAGCCGCTTCTCGCTCCCCGAGGATGCTTTCCCTTACTGACATATGGTGGTGCCCAGTGTCAGTCCTGTTCCTGCCACTGTGCAGGTTCAGGTAGTCTGGAACCAATGCCTAACCAACCACTCACATGCTGTAATCAATAAAGTTGTGGCCTAATTTAATGCAAAAAACCTTAAAAATAAATTCTGTGTCTATTGTGCGTTTATTTTGGGGGTTGGTTTTGGGGGTCTTCACACGCAATTTTTTAAAAAAATGCTATATATATAAATATATAAAGCTATATAATACCTCAAAACAAAAGCCTGATATCTTGAGATTGTTCGATGGCCTGTTAGAACCAGTTCAAATGGGGCAAGTTTATAAATGGTCCAGTTGGTGGTCAAGGGAGAGGCACAGAGGGAAGTGTTCACACATCTTGGGATTATGGATGATGGGAGTCACAAGGGGCCGGAATTATGTGATTATGACATACAAAAGCAGAGTGCAAATATTTAAGTAAAGGTAAAGGACGCCTGGACAGTTAAGTCCAGTCAAAGATCACTATGGGGTTGTGCTGCTCATCTCGCTTTCAGGCCGAGGGAGCCGGAGTTTGTCCACTTTGACACCATGACAGAAGCCAGAGAGCATGGAAACGTTGTTTACTTCCCACCACAGTGGTACTTATTTATTTATTTATTTGTACAGTATGAGTATTTGAGACACTAGATTGTTGAAGGGAGGGTTGTTCAAGTAATTGCTAAAAGCTTTCTGTCTTAAAGCCAATCTTTGGCACTGATGGCCTTGCTGACCCCAAACGACTAATTGCTTGGGGCTGGGGATGCTTCTCGTAGCTTTCTTGGCATTGAAAAGGGGACGGGACTAAGTTGTGCCTTCCTAACACTCACTTGGAAGTAAGCCTGGGCTACATGAATGCCTCTGAAGAGTTAAATGAGCCCACTGTATATTTTATATGCTACTGGAAAAGTTGTTTTCCCATTATACTGTTATTGTTCTTCATAGGCTAAAGGGGGGATAGGAAGGAGTGGTGAAATTCAATAAAGAAAAGGTACTTCAGTTTTCTATGATAAATATACTGAGTTGTATTTCCGTTGTGACTTTACAACCCATACTCAGAGTCTTATTTATACATTCTAAGTGTGGGCGCAAAAACCTTGGCAATACAGCTTTCAATAAACATTTTTTATTTTTCCATCTAAGCTCTTAAAATGTGAAAGCTATATATAAGCATCTATAAGAAACTTGTAGAAAAGCAAACCATTCAGGCAGATATAGTAAATGATCATGACAATTAGAGCTTTCCTTAAGTGTCTGTAGTGTCAGCACTTAAAGAAACAACTCAATCAACATTTCTGAATGGGAATTTTGACAGCATCAGATGCCCAGTTCCTGAGGTTTCAGCTTCCATGTGTTATGATTTTATAGTTCATGTCAGAGATCATAGTAGTAGTTTGCCTTGATAGTGCTTGATTTGGCATGGAAGTTCAGTAAGTCTCAAGTTATCCTGTTACCAAATTATCTGTCTGACATTGTAGAATTGCTGCGGGGGGGGGGGAATCAAATGAGTATTAAGAGGAAAACCAAGATCAAGAATCAGAGGACTAACCTTAAGGGAGTTGATAGTTGGAGAGGACAAGGAAGGACGCATAGTCCAAGGATGGAGTGTTTCTCAGGCAAAACCTGATAGTTTTCCTGGGCTTCCTTGTAACACTATCTAGGCAGGAACAGGGACATCCAGTTAGGTTCTTGTGGGAGAAGCCACCTTTGACACTAGTATTAGGAAAAATGTGCTGTAATGAGTTATTCAGATGTTTATGACCATCAAACAAAAATCCTCAAGGAGATGGAAGGAAGCAGATTTACATATCCCTACGCTTGGTTAAAGCCCCCCCCCCCCCGACAAACATAAGAAACCAGTGGGAAACCCACATATTACCTGGTGACAGGTAGATGCCAAAGGCACTATACTCACATGAAACTATTCTCAGTTTCAGTTTCTCTCAGTTTCTTATTTTCCAACCTTAAATTCTACTCTAAACCTTTTCTTCACGAAAATTCACCAGCATATTAGTGCACATTTCACATAACTTTGTATGCAATTTTCCCTAATATTGTGGCAAGCATTTCCCCATAATATTTTGGATAAGTTGGATAACTTCAAAGAAAAAATTGGAGAAGTGCAGATTTCAAAGAACGGCTGTGTTTCAGCTTGCATATTGTTTCAGAAAGTGTGAATTGGGTAGATCTGCTTTAGAACCTTATTGATTTTCTCCCTCAACTTTATATGGGGCTGCCTTGAGACCAAGCGATTTCTCACATGCCCTATTTCAAAATCTGTTGTGGGCTCAATACATAGCACAGAGCATGTGTCTTGTTTTTCTTTAATAAAAAGTGCATGCTACAATTGTTATCAGGACTGCAGCGTCTAAGAAGCTAAAGGTTTATACCTTTCATTTGTAGCTGCAACACTTGAATATCACCACTTTTTCCCAAGTGGCTTCAAAACACAGGAAAAAGTATTCCATCGGCGCCAGACGGATGAAGAAAAACAGAGGCAGTGGATGTGCTCATGAAAACTAGAACTTAATATCACCATTTGCTCCCAAAGCTTCACAGTATTATATGACAAGACTGTTGTTTACTACTTAAAGTAGTAAACTTTATTATGATTACAAATGATAGATATTAATGGATCATTAATCCATATAATAATCTCGCATTTTCACAAAGGCAATTTAAAATTGTCCTTAACAATCTCACTGACACTTTCTACCAGAAAATTGCTTGCTTTTGTTTATCCCTAATCTTTGCACAGTTCCTTGCTCCCACTAATTAACAGTCCATTTTCTCTACTCTTTTTGTTCAGATCACCTTTAATACAATTTCCATAAATTAAAATAGAGCAGCCTGTCAAGTTTATACTAAAGGTACTGTATAGGTTTTCATAGTTTAACTAGATTACCAACAGCAGCCATATTTCAGTGATCTGAGAAAAGATGTTCATTTCTCACAGTTGCCTAGATGAATGCTTATGCCTTGCCGATTGGCTAGCTCATTTTATTTTTATATTATACTCTCCTGTAAAATTAATGACTGAAATGACCACCAGTGTATGGAGCTACTGAAAGCTTCTCTGGCTTCCCACATTTCTGTTAAATCCCAAGGGAATACATTATTAGATACCTCATTCCATGGGTTGTCCATATCTGGAAGTGCAGACAACCAGGAAGGTTATAGCACTCTGGAAAAATGGAAACAAAAACACGTCTCACAACACAACAACCCAAATTCTAAATAAATTCTCAAGTTACATGAGAATGAGACAGAAAAATGGAAGCCCGTTTTGTACAGGATTAATACTGGAAAGTTTTTTCTCCTCCATCATTAGAACAGAAATATTGAAGGCCTTTTCAAGCAAGACAAGGATGACCTTAAACTTATTGTATGGCTAAGAATGGAAACAATTCCGATCTCAAACTCAGATGTGAAGGTTTCGTTTGTTTACAACTAAAAATGCACCTCTTACCTTTACAAGGAATATAGTTGATTTACTGAAAGGACAATTTATTCCAGAGAGTGAAAAGAGGAAAGCATAACAGTCAGAAAAATGGTTCAAGGACTTCCTCCTACCTTTGTCTATTTCCCTTACAAGTATTTCCTCAGAAGAGAGGGCCCTGCAATATGTTTCC